GAGTCTCTAATCTAATTGATAAACGATCCGCAAAGGACCCTTGAAATTTCTTCCCCGTTTTTCAATATGTGGTCAGACATAAGATAGTAACATGAAAAAATCAGTGACCTTGTTTTGACATGTTTTAAAATTAAGTTTGCTTGTTATTCAATAGTTTATGATTTTCGTACATGTTTATTTTAATCGTACAGAGCTTTAATTGTCCAAACTCTATGGAGCATTAATAGGTATAAAGTGCAATCACTTATCAATGTATTGGATGGTTCCATTGTCAGCTTGCTTTCTAATCCTTTGAGCTTTTAATTTGTTTGCAAATGATTTTGAGACAAAAGGGAAGACTCAGGACACTTCCTTGTAATTTTTAAAATTTGTATCTGAAAGGCGCTTGGCTTTTTGTTCGGCATATTGTAACAGTTGCCCCTTTAAACGCGAAGCATTTAAAAATACCTTTTTGGCCTGTACAACTTTTTTAGGCTTTATGTTTATGTTTCTGATTCTCAGATTTTCTGGAAATACAGTTTTGTTAAGAAGAGTGGAAAATAGGTTTTACAAAAAAAAACTTCTTCCATTTAAGTAAATGTTAGGCAAACTTACATTATGTTTTTAACATAATGTTCTCTATGGGTAGTTATGAAAATTGCAGAGCGGAAGGTGTGTTTAGTATAATTAACGGAAAGCAATTGGAATAATGAATAATACAGTTTAGAGATAATTGCTGGAAAGGGTGCTACAGAAATTCTCAGAATAATACTTTAAAATATGTGACCAAACTCCAGTATCTCAGGAATTTCCCATGTCACATTGTTGGACAGCATATCCTAATACCCAGGTGTAAAACCCATCTGGATGTGTCATGTGTATGCCGGTGACTTTCATCTTAGTTATTCTTGGCCTTTGTTTTGTTTTGTTTTTTCTATCCATTGAATTACATTTTTCACCGTAAGCCAATGTCAGACTTCCAAAAATTGTATACCACATATGCTCCTGTGGTTATCCAGTTGCTAAGCAACTGGACTCTGCTTGAGGGTAGAAGGGAAGTGAGAAGGTTCATTGTGAGGTTCTGCACCCCTGTTGAGTTCATTTGAATGGCAGCAGGGATCCTATATCTTGATTCTTCTGGAAATTATAAATCAAGTGCCTCCACGTGTCTTCATATAAAACAATGGGGCTTAGAACAAGTACGGTCATCAAAAAGCCCTTAAGGATTTTGACGGTCTCCCCTTGCAGAAGGGACAACTTAGTTTTAATACATCTCTGATGTAACATTTGCTTTTTGGATTAATTATATGTAGTGATTTTGTGATTGTTAGAAGTTAAGAAAAGCATACAAAAACTTTGCCTGAAATATAAGTATTTAATAGAACTAGTCTCACATATTGTTTTCAATTTATTTTATACCCAGCATAATGTCATGAGACCTTTTTATATTAGATAGTTAAGAGATACTATTTCATATTAGCTAGGTAGATAGTTTTAATATTCCAATGACTTAACAGTTTTTCAATATATGAGCCTGCTGCAATTTATCCTAAAATCTATTTTCCAATATTGTCAGTTTTACTGCAATTATTCTATGTACTTCTTATTTTTGTTGCAATTATAAATTATCAAAGTCACTGTTTTCCGTTGTTATGTTTTGCAGTGTCTGCAAATAATGGTTGCTTTGATTCTTCTTCAGTGCTCACACTCTTTTTTCTTACTGATTTTTAATGTCGGCATGCCCATCTTGTTCCTGACTTCAATGGGAATGTCTTTTGTATTTTACTTTTAAGATAATTTTGGCATTTAATTTCTGAAAAAAAATCTTCAACATGTTTTAAAAGTTTTTTTTATTCCTTCTTTATTTAGATGTTTTTTAATCCAATAGCTATATCTAAAGATTAGATAATATTTTTTCTTTCCCCTCCTATTGTATAAGTAACCTCTTTTACTGAAAATTTATTTGACTTCAAGTAATAGAAATCTGCCTAACAATGGCTGAAACAGAAGAGGTTAATTGTTCTAATCCTTACCATTTCTATGAGGAAAGGAGAGGTTAACTTTTCTAATCCTTACCATTTCTATGAGGAAAGGAGCTTACACACATAAACTCACACACCCATGCACACACTCACACACAATCCATGTTTTACCTGCCAGTCTGTTTCAATTTGCTAATTGAAAAGTTGAGACCGTCCCTAGAGTCTTGTTTTCACCCTCTGTATCTGACTGATCTTCCAGTTTTGACCTCTCTTGTCTGTCTCCTTTCCACATCCCATGGACCATTGCATCAGTTTAAGCTGAACTAATTTCCTACAACAACCCTTTGAGCTAATTCATGACTTTATGTTTCTCTTCTAATTTATCTTTCACAGACCTGCCAACAGGACCTTTTTCAAATATTTATTCAAAATGTTGCATACTTGCTTAAAGTCCTTCAATAGCTATCAGCCTCAGGGCACAGCTCACAGTCCTTGAGTGGTGAACAAGGCCTTCATAGTCTTTATCACTCACTCTCTGGCTAGCTTTGTCTCTCACCACTTTCCCTGATAAAACTAAGCTGCTCACTATTCACCAGCTTGACCACTTAGTCAAAGCCTCTAGGAGTCATTGTATTAATATGTGCTGAATGAGTGAGTGGATGAAAGAAAGCCTTCTCTAGCTTGTTCATCCCAGTGTCAGGATGTAGTATGATACTCCCACTAAAATCAAAGGGAACAGAAAGGGTCTCCACCTGATGAATCATTTTTCAATCTTGCGTCATATTGGTCATGTCTCAAGCCTCCTTAACATCGGGTTAATGAAGGTTTTGGATGAACTGAATGAAGAGCTGCAGCCGATAGCACAGAAAAAGTCAATCTCGCTTCCCATGCTAATGATTCATTTTGACTGTTAACTTTTGGGACCCTGATAAGGATATACAAATCCTATTGTCTATTTAACTACCAGAAATGATAAGTCAATACCAACTAGGCCAGCCCCAAAATAACTGTTTTGGGCATATAGTGTCCAGAGTTGAAAAAAAATAACACTAAATCATTTTATCTGACATGCAGATTTGTTCTGTTGTCTACGGGGCACAGTGGGCTGCTGATTTATTAAGGTTATCTAAGATCTTTAGAGGCAACCATTTTTTTAATTTTTATGGGTTGTTTGTCAATTCTACATTTACAAAAGCTTTCATGATAAAACTTTACCTGTCTTGTTTTATGGCTTGGTACTTTTGAGTTCCAGAGTACAGATACCCAAGCATATGCAGGTCTGTGTATTAAGAAAATTTTGATCCTTACTGCCAAATTCCCTGGAAAGATACAATTGTCTTTCTTCTAAATGCCAATGATAGTTGATTTTATTGTAATAAAATATTTATCTTGCGACTTACACATTTGTTTCGTAAATATGGATCTTGATTTAGTCGGTAAGATCAAATACTCTTATTCTATACTCAACATATATTATTTGAAGCAATTTATTTTCTTGGAATATTTCCTGCTAAATACATTTTAGTTTTTGTGCCACTGTATACATAATTTTAAATTAGAAGCTTTGAAACTAAAGTCCTAGGTGGCTAAATACGTCCAGATGGCCAGATAAATTGTGTCAGCTTCCTACGGGTCTCATCTTTCTTTTCCTTGGCTTAGTTCTCTTTCTACATCAGTAAGTAGCAATACTGAATTTGTTTGTGACTTGCAGACATAGGCTAATCAAATTTAAATGATAATTTTTTCAGTGTCAGTCTATTATCAAAAAGGGAAGAAATTGGACAAGGAATGCCAATGTTTGGCAATAAGTAAAACTACTTTTTGTTTTGTATCCTCAGAGGCTAAGATTCTTACGTACAGGAAAAGATTCTTATGGATAAGGATTTATTTTTCTCTAGCTTTATGTAAAAGAGTGCTAGAGCCGGGCACGGTGGCTCAAGCCTGTAATCCCAGGACTTTGGGAGGCCGAGGCGGGTGGATCATGAGGTCAAGAGATCGAGACCAATCCTGGTCAACATGGTGAAACTCTGTCTCTACTAAAAAAAAAAAAAAAAAAAAAAAAAAAAAAAAAAATTAGCTGGGCATGGTGGCACGTGCCTGTAATCCCAGCTACTCAGGAGGCTGAGGCAGGAGAATTGCCTGAACCCAGGAGGTGGAGGTTGTGGTGAGCCGAGATCGCGCCATTGCACTCCAGCCTGGGTAACAAGAGTGAAACTCCATCTCAAAAAAAAAAAAAAAAAAAAAAAAAAGAGTGCTAGAATACAATTGAATAGTGCCAAGGATGAAAACAGTAAAACAGAATACTGATGAAATAAAAAAACATAAAATTAAGTAACATAAAAATGGGCAAATATCTCAAAAACTTATAAGACCATTGGAGAAAACCTCAAAAAATTGATCAATAAATCTTTTGCACTAATTGATAATGATAGTCTTTGCATTTAAGAATAAAAAATCAGATAGACAGCTTTTCATACATGAAGTTAAAATAATCATGAAAATATTGAGTCTTTAAAAAATCATAGCCTAAGTGGAAACATTTAGGTAATATGTATGTGTGAAAGTATATATATTTTTTGTTTGTTTTCTCTAGCATTCTTGAAGAATATTAATATGTTTTTTTAAATTTATCCCTTTCAACTTTTAGTTCTCCCACTTTGAGCCCTGATAATAGATTATTGTAATCATTTTTAATCTCTCTTTTTCAGTATAGAATTCAGTGTTCTGATTTTTTTTTTTTTTTATGATAGGATCCACCTGATTTAGCTCAGGTATTCACTGAAAAATCAATTTAATATTCTTTCCAAAGGTTGAATGGTCTTATATGCAAACTGTAGCTATTCCTTGTTTCCAAAATATTTTATTTTATTGAATTATGTTGGATTCACAAGGCCTTATTAGGACATAGCTGTGGTACTGTTAGGTATCCGTAGACCAAAAGTAAATTAGGTTTCCTTTGCTTTTTTCATAATGTACTTAAAATATGCATCATATTTTATCAAATTTTACCATTGTTTTATTTTATTTTATTTTTTCAAGAACGACCCACATTTCTCAGGAGGCCAATTAACCAGGTGGTGCTGGAGGAAGAAACTGTAGAATTTCGTTGTCAAGTCCAAGGAGATCCTCAACCAACTGTGAGGTGGAAAAAGGATGATGCAGAATTGCCAAGAGGAAGGTAAGAGAACATCACGTGGAGGGAAGATTGTTAGACAACCGATGAATAATCAGGAAAGAAAAGGGCGGCTGCCGTGCCGCCGCCAAATGCGCCTACATCTGGGGGAATTTTTACGCATGTAATTTTTACATATGCAAGCCACATATTTCCTGTTTGTATATAAAAGTCCACCAGGCTTTCAGTGTCTCTCTTTCAATGAATATCGAAGTTAATGCTTGATTCTTCATTCCACCTCTTACCTCCAGATGCCAAGGATTCCTGGGTGCCTTCTTTCTCCTGGACCCTTTGAGGCATACTGTTCTATTTCTTCCATCAATGACTGCCCTGTTCTCATGCTTCACCCTCTTGGGATACCATTTGTCACCTCCATGGCCCAAAGCATAACTAACAAAAGACTATTGCATGTGACCGACTGTAAGTCGTAGAATAAAGGAAAGGTCAGCACAACACTGAAATAGTAGCAAGTAGTTGGTATCTTTTTTCACATATTTCTTTTTGTTTTTCTTTTTGTTTGTTTGTTTTTTGAGATGGAATGCAGTGGCACGATCTTGGCTCACTGCAACCTCCGCCTCCTGGGCTCAGCCTCCCGGGTACCTGGGACTACGGGTATGTGCCACCATGTCCAGCTAATTTTTATACTGTAGCAGAGATGGGGTTTCACCGTGTTGGCCAGGATGGTCTCGATCTCCTGATCTCGTGATCCACTCATCTTGGCCTCCCAAAGTGCTGGAATTACAGGCATGAGCCACTGCGCCTGGCCCACATAGGGAATTTCTAACACAGGGACCTCCACTCACTTTCTTCCTTGTCATCTCTTCGTGATTCCCGTCTCTTCCATCTCTTTCTTATTGTTCTGATCACAAAACCCTCAAATCCAATCTCTCAAACTCACACCTGTATTAAAAAATGCCTTTCATTATAAATAAAAATAATTTTAACTTTTTGCTATATAAATTTCCCTAAGATCTTGCCATTTAGAATCAAATAAGTCATGTGAGTGTTTTTTTGTTTGTTTTAATACAAGTAATTTTATCTTTAAGACTTGTGATGCCTTCCTCCTGCTTCTACCTGCTGACATTAAAACCATTATGCATGCTACAATTATTGTTTGCATAAAATTGTACAGGCTGGGTTTTTCTAGTTGTGTGTCTTCTTTTTTTTTTTTTTTTTTTTTTTTTTTTTTTTTTTAATTATGGCCTGGCATGGTGGCTCATACCTGTATTCCCAGCTCACACCAGTTATCCCAGCACCAAGACAGGTGGATCTCCTGAGTTCAGGAGTTCAAGACCAGCCTGACCAACATGGCAAAACCCTGTCTCTACTAAAAATACAAAAAATTAGCCAGGTGTGATGGTGCACGCCTGTAACCCCAGATACTCGGGAGGCTGAGTAGGGAGAATCTCTTGAACCCAGGAGGCAAAGGTTGCAGTGAGCCAAGAACTTGCCACTGCACTCCAGTCGGGTTGACAGGGTGAGACTTTGTTTCAAAAAGAAAAACAAAAAAACAAAACAAAACAAAACTTTGTTTCATTCCACTGACTGGTACTAAACATGCTTCCACAGAAGCTACATACCTTTTATATGCTTTCACTGCTATCAGTACTTTCCTAAATGTAAACATTGAATTTAAAATATCAATTTTATAAATCCCAAGATATGATAGGATACTTTACTTCAAAACACATGTCACTCATGGATTGAATGCACTGGATTAAAATGTACCAAACATATAATAGTTCCTGAGAAGTTCTTTGCAATCTACGGGAATAAAACAAGTGAAAACACTAATTCAGTTAGTTTTTCAGCCTATGTAATAGGGAAAGTCATCACTGCCTTTCTTTTATCATTTTAATGCCAGACATCTGTCTTTAAAGGAATGGTATTAGAAGAGGTTTGTAAATGTGAGGCTTTTCATGCCAGCTCATTGGAGAAGCGGGTTAGAAAACAGGGAGAGTTGACACTATTTAATTACTCTGTCCATCCTTTAGATAGAATCAATACATTTCTCCAAATTTGAGAGCACATAATCAATAATTTTACAATGTTGGTGTAAAGGGAAGAGATTAATTCGAAAGTAAAATTTATCCTAATGTAAACAAAGGTTTATTTTCAATAACTGGGAGTCTATGGCCTTGTCCATTGAAACTTTAAAAACGTTTAGATTTGGAATAATTTTGGTTTATAGGAAAGTTACAAAGTTAGCACAGAGAGTTCCCATATGCCCTGCACCCAGTTTTCCTTGTTAATATCTTACGTGACTATAAAGCACTTGTCACATCTAATGAGCAAACCTTGATACATAATAATTAAGTAAAGTGTATACATGATGTGGCTCTCCCAGCTTTTCCCCACTGTCCTCTTTCTACTCCAGTCCAGTTCAGGTCATTAATTAGTTGAGTATCATAGACTTCTGCATTTTGTTCTCATGTCTCTCCAGTCTCCTCTGGCTGTTATAAGTTCTTAGTGTTTTCCAGTTCTCGTGACCTTAACAACCCTAAAGGGAAGTACTGGCTTGGTATGCTATTGAATGTCCCTGAAACTTGGATTAGTCTGGTGTTTTCTCTTGATTAGACTGGGTTTATAGGTTTTAAAAAGAATACCCTAGAGATGACATGCTCTTCTTATCACATTGTATCAGGGGATACATTATATCCACGTAACGGCACTGGTGACCGTGTTAATTTTCTTTTCTTTCTTTTTTTTTTTTTTTTTTTTTGAGACGGAGTTTCGCTCTTGTTACCCAGGCTGGAGTGCAATGGCGCGATCTCGGCTCACCGCAACCTCCGCCTCCCGGGTTCAGGCAATTCTCCTGCCTCAGCCTCCTGAGTAGCTGGGATTACAGGCAGGTGCCACTATGCCCAGCTAATTTTTTGTATTTTTAGTAGAGACGGGGTTTCACCTTGTTGACCAGGATGGTCTTGATCTCTTGACCTCGTGATCCACCCGCCTCGGCCTCCCAAAGTGCTGGGATTACAGGCATGAGCCACCACGCCCGGCTGACCCTATTAATTTTCAAACACTGAACAAGAGCAAGTTGAAAAATGGTTTAAAAATAGATAATTATTTTAAGTGTGCATTGCATGTTGACATGTCTATGTTTCTAAATTAAGGTAAAATAAAACTTAATTGTGCCTAGTTTGATTATTTCCGGCATAATGTAGGTGTTAGGTCATACACCTGACAACTTTAGTGGTTACACTCTTCTCCAAATCTTGCCAAATTCATTTGCTTTCATGTACAAATGATACATATAAATCAGCCAACAGCATTAAAGCTACATTTTCAGAAGGCATGATATCAAGGCCACTAAGCAACGAGGTTGAAAACCTGAGAAATCTCACCTTCAATAACTTTCTTTAAAACATTTTCATGTTTTGGCCTCTTCATTCTATTTATCGGCATGATATTATTGTAGTACTCTGTGTAACCAGTGAAATATTTTTAAAATATTAGGCAAATGGAAGTGCTGTGTAAGCTTTAAATTGTTCTGTTAGAAAGGCTTAAAGCAAGGATAAGTGGAAAAGAGAAACGGAGGTCAGTATTTTCATCATGATAGATGCATGTACTTTTTCTTGAATTCCCAGTCTGTAAGTGATGTTCAGAGGAGTTTATTCATTCCTCGATTTGTATGTATTAGCATAGCCTCACTTACGTGTAATGAGAGGGAAACAGATCTCTTTGCTTGGTGAGGAATAGCAGTAATAACTTTTGACCAACCATAGACTAAATCAACAACATTGATTCTATTACATTATTTAGGTCTCAGACTAGGGAGATGACCAATGTTCTTGTATAAGCAGTTGGTGTGGTGGATGGCATTTCCTTGGCTTACCAGTTAATAAAATTTGAATAAGGTTTGTGTAGTGGTTCATGCTTAACACATTTATATGAAAGCTTTGTAGGCACCTGCATAGCCTGTAATTAATATGTAAGTAATATGTGACTATTTTTCTTTTGGAGACCAGAAAAGCTTTTCAATTCAAGTTTAAATTTATGAAATACTGTGAGAGATATTAAAACCTTTAACACAGAAGATATCTGTGCCAACCTTTCAGTAACCAGAGATGAATTAAGGGAGTAATTCTTTCCCTTGCCTTGAAAATATTTTTTAAGTAGTACCGATATGCCTCTTTCTTTTATTTAGTCTTAAACTCCTGACCTTTCTCAGTAACTAGCTTTAATGAAATTACAACGGACTCTTGGTGAGTTGTATTAAAACATTTTCTGAAAAGATAAATGTTTAATGAGGTAGGAAGCATAGCAAGTCTAACAATAACCCTTGTGCTCAACTAGGGAAAGTTATTTATGTGGACATTTTCCACGTGACCAAGGGACAAAATTGGAAGGAGTCTTTACTATACACATTACTGCCAAGCTCTTATTCCTTGTAAAGACTTCTGAAGATATTACCGTTTCACAACTGAATATTTCAGGAAGCATATTGATTCTGTGCCAAGTATCAATGCTGTTTTCTAGAACATTTCAATACATATGTGTTAGGGACAAAAATTTTATACACTAATGTGAAAATAAAGTGAGTAGGGGGCACAAGCAAGTAAAAGGTGTTTTATAGTTTATAATGATTATGATTTTTAAAGAACTTTTTTTTTTGGCAGAATTTCGCTCTGTCACCAAGCTGGAGTGCAATGGCACAATCTTGGCTCACTGCAACCTCCTCCTCGCGGGTTCAGGTGATTCTCCTGCCTCAACCTTCCAAGTAGCTGGGATTACAGGTGCCCAGCACCACACCTAGCTAATTTTTTGTATTTTAGTATAGATGGGGTTTCACCATGTTGCCCAGGCTGGCCTCAAACTCCTGAGCTCAGGCAATCCACCCACCCTGGCCTCCCAAAATGCAGGATTACAGGTGAGAACCACCACGCCTAGCCTAAAGCGCCTTTTTAAAGCATAATTTAAATAGTAGAAGATGCGCTTTTGGATTTACGTACATTTAGTAAGTGCCTATTACATTTATAATATTCATTGCAAGTTTGAAAAAA